AAAAAACAAAGGGCTCCCCCAGCTTTTTTTTGGGGGGGGGGGGGGGGGTCAGGGACACGTGGGACAAGTGTTGTTTGATATTTCACTTCCTCATCAGCTAGAGTCCGATGCACGGGGTTTTCTGGCAGATGCTTAGAGCAGCCTGGTCAGTCACATGCTGGAGGAGCACGTTACTGAATAGAAAGGCGGCCTGGTTGCCTGGTTTCCTACCTCACTTGTGTCCTTGTTTGAACTTCAGATGACAGAGCAACGGAAGCGCAGACAAAGGATGGGGTTTGTGGATGTCCAGAATACCATGAACCACTAAGGCGGAGAAGAAGCATCAGCTTCACCCACCGAGAGACTAGATGTATGTAACAGCTAACGAGGCTGCTTATTCCTGGGTTCCACACGTGAACGTCACTGTCGGAGAAAGACGGACCATGCAGAAGGCCTTCACAATCAGCATTTTCCTTAGAGCGCTTATAAGCAATTCAGGAACAAGGGACTGGCCAGGATGCCTCATGATACCCGGACCCACATGTTACTCTAATGCCCTTGTAGGAAGATAAATTATACAGGACTTTTATTCCTCATTGCAATAACTCTTTATTTTGCAAATGTGGAGGGTTATATCTTTAGCTTCTTGCACTACATTCTGGTGGCTTCCACCTCAGGTGTAGTGTAACTAGCTGTAGGGCTGCAATATTTAACTTATTCCAAAAGTGGCACTAGTACATGTGGATCTTTGCAAACCAGCCGTCGTGTTTGCTGTACCTGCTCCATGCTGATCCCTCTCCATTTAAAGAATTCTGTTCATCACTGCAGTGCAGTAAAGAGGAGCTAAACTCAAGGAGATGGATTTGTTAATTTAACTCACCAGATGAGGATGAGTATCCAAGCTTGTACTAGTGTGAACTAGTCTTTTGCCTTCTGTGGACCAAGAAAATCGGGGCAGTAGTAGTAGGAGACTGCAGGTTTACAGGAGTTCACTGTGAAGGGGTGTCCTGTGTTTTAGTTTTATCTCTGGTATAATATTTTACATTTTTTGTTGTTGTTACTTAAGAACTGATAGCCTTAAATAAATTAAATACAAAATCATGTACTTAAACATGGTAAAGAAAGTGCCCTTCCTGTCCACTCTGGTCTGTAATGGGGCTGTTTGTTAGAAATAGAAATACAGAACAGGCAACCAGGGCTGTATTACCCAAGGTGCTCCACAACCCAATGCTCTCAGCACCCGATGTTAAACTCTAAAATGTAGTACAATGAAGAAGAATGCTACCATGAAGAACTACCTTGAACATCAGCCCTGTTTGCTGAAGCTTTGGATTAGAGCCTGCTGCAAAGTTTCAAATTCTTTCACTACTTGCCAAGAAAACACCGTTCAAATACATAAAGAGCAGCTGTTGGCACTGCCTGGAGCCAAGCGGAGTCCTGGCATCGCTGTGTTCTAGACACTCATCCTTCCCAAGCCAAGCAGTGCTGTAGCCACCCCAACTACAGTCCTGCGCCTCTGCCTCCCGAGAATAGACACTGATGCAACCATTAAAGCTTTAAAAAAGGAATAAAAATAGGCCACAGCAATGGACTAATCACACCTGAAATTTGTTTACAGCCCTATATACCAACATGTCATAGAACATCTCTTTATCCCTCAGATATCCAGTAACCCCTATGGAACATTCTCTTCACGCTGAGGGAAAGCTGCACATAGCTAGCTGGACCAGCAGCATGCCAGTTAAACTGATTGAAATCCCAGTTAAACTCTTACACTGCTCCACTGTCACCATGGTAAACTTACCCTCAGTCCTCTCCTGTGTCTTCTCAAAAGGAAAATAAATGTGATTATTAAAAGTTACCCCCCCCCTCAATTTCACTGTTACCAGTGCTAACACACAGAAACACAAGCATAGCTACATTTTTCACATCATCGCTATTGTTACCTTCCCAAGGAAATTTAAAGCTAACGCAGTTGTACCTACTTGCTCTATGCATCTCCTGGTTGTTCCACTTCTTGTAACACAAAGGATCTGGTCTAACACCACAAAGTTCGTTCTACGCTACATTGCTCCACTATGGTTCCAGCACAAATGTGTTAAGCTATGTCCTAGATTTTTCAGGGAAAAAAGAGGGGGCACTAAAAGTGAAGGGTGTAAGGTGTAGTTCTGAACAAAAATGCTGTTGCTAAGAGGAATAAATGGCTTTATTCATCATGGCAACATACAGTGCTTTAGGAATATGTACAGTGGAGAATCTGGGAGTTAGCCTATCACTTTGAGTCCTCTTCAGGTTTCTTGGCATAAAACTTTTCTCGCAGTTTTTTCCATGTCCCTTTTTTCATGTCTTCCATCTGTTTCAGAACGTCTGCAAAAGGAGAAAAGAGAGAGAGGGGAATAAGAGGAAGAAAAGCAGAAAAGCAAAGGAATGAAAACCCTCTTATAAAAGCTTTGCCTTACATGTATTTTCTTTTTTTTTGACTTTTCATCTTAATGAATTTCTATTTCAGGGCCTGAGGCAAGTTTGTTTTCCCTTCCTATCAATTGTGTGGGGAGTCCCTTATCACTAACAACTAATATTCAGTTTCCACGCACTGCAATCAAAGTTAGGAACTGGAGCAGAACAAAACTGCAGTAGCTTCCTACACCGCACTTAATAAATGATCTGGTTGAGAGTATTTCTGCATCATGGTACCCTGTTTTCTCTCAAATTCTAATACAAAAGGAGAAATACTGAAGGGAATTTGAACATGGTGAAACAGAAGCTGAGAATTTTTTGAATGAGGTAGCAAACGTGCATTTCTTTCACCTAGCTCCTGCTATCTGATCTCAAAGAGCCCTTGCAAACCCTTTGCTGTTCCTGCCCAGTGCAAAATACAATCGACTTTTTGCCCTGATAGATTACTGAAGATCTCCTCAATTATTCCTGAACTTACTCCTCATTAAACATCCTAATGTACTTGCACAGCAGTCCCATTCTGTCCTTTAGACACAGGTGTTCAGTAGAAATGATGCAGCGAACACCACAAAGGCTAGAATGTACTTTATCTCCTGCATTGACTTAGCTACAAATCAAGCACAGGATTAGTACCTGTTGCTAGTATCATCTTGCAGTCTTCTACTGTCAGTCCAGTGAAGCTTGTGTCTTTCAGGCGTGGATACTTCACAAGTGAGCAAGTAGGTGAGAGGAGAGAGAGAAAAAGATGTTACTTGTAGTGCGTTAAAACAGGTAAAAATGTCACCATACAGCACAGTCATTTTCAGTCAAGCTCTAAGAATTCTGTTCGTACATACCAAGAACTATCACCTGCATTGTTCATACATGTCACGGGGGCCAAGATGTCTGCAGCTTTCCCGGAGTGACCAAAGGCACCAGGTAGTGCTGCATCCACCTGACCGCTCATTTGTCTGTTACATATTCCCTGAAACCCCACCAGGACAAGGCAGCCAACTGCTGTAGGTGGTGACTCACCCCCTAAAAGAGGGCTGAAGGCTAATGCCAAAGCTCACCTTGTTTTTGTAGTAGTTGGTGTGGATTCTGACTAAGCTCTCGTACATTCGGTCACAGGTCTCAGGGTCAGCAATCTGGAAAGGGATAAAAGCATCACACAAGTCTTATTTTAAACCTCCATAGGAAAACCCACCTCGTTTCAAGGTTTTGTGAGAAGGACAGTCAAGGAGCAGCTTAGGTGACTTCTCAGTGCAATGTAGGATGCTGGTGACCCCTATTATGCTGGTCCAGAATGCAGATCATTTTCTTTCCCTTCTACTTCTTACCAGCTTGGCATACAAGAATAACGAGGCACATGATTTCCAGAATTTACCTTCTATACTGCTCAAAAAGATTTGACAGATCAACTGTGAATACACAGTTAATAAGAATATTGCTGGACAGTTTTCTTCTCACGTTTATCGGCCACCGCTGTGAAATCTGCGAGAATTCTTGCTCAAAGGCCAGTTTTGCCGCCTGTTTTATTCTAAAGCATCAAATAGGATAACGTACTAGGACAGAAGTTAGAAAATCCTGGCGCAGGCTAAAAATAGGTTATAATTGATTAGGGAAAAGCAGGATGAAAGACACTGAACAGCTTGTGGAAGGTAAATGGATTTCTATTTTGGTCAAGTAAGTTGGAAAGATTTTGCTAATACCTAAACCTCTGCTAGGTGCCTCAGACCGGTGCACCTGCCTTGCAGAGCCATCTAAATAGCAGTGTGGATGGCACGCCATCTTGGTTTTCTATTTTACAATGGGGGCCAAGTCGACCAGAACACTGCATTGCTGCTCGATGACATGAAACATAAATGATTTTTTAAATGGATACATGAATAAGAATAGTATCAACAGAAACATGTCAGGATAAAATGACATGGCTCATCTGTCCTTGGGACATTGGCACAGGTTCAGCACAAGGCGGGTAATGCTCCTCTGCACAAACTAGGAAAACTAAGGAAAGGCTCTCCTTATTCAGTAGGTAATGGCTGCTGCAGGAGAGAGGATATAGGGACAGACAGACTGTCAAGAGTAAGCACCATCACACTGCAGGTGATCTTCAGCTTAGCGTATCTTGCAGTCACATTTCAAATGACCCTGCTAATGTTTTAGTAATGATAGCAGAAATAGCTATTAAATGGGTAGCAGAAACAGTATTCCCCCTGCCCCGTAAAATCAGAAAATCTTACTTCATGTGAATAAAACAGACATTAGACTGATAAAGTATCCTTTATGGTTCTAGTTCTTTTCTCATACATTCCTCCTGCTGTCTGCCAGTACATTTCCCTTTGCTGTATTAAGCCTTTATACATACAAATTGACATCAGTGCTGCAGGCATCAATTTAGATTTTCAAGATGAGTGGCAGCTTTGGGATCTTGTAAGCAATTGGTGCAGCATATTCAGCTGTCCTGAGCATATGAAAAAGCAATAAGCACTTTCCGAAATGTCTGCTGCAGACTATTCTGGTGACCAATATAGAATTAGGTGCCTATAATGGCCCCTTGAAGTAGAAAACGCATCTCTGGAACAATGTTTTTATGCTAAGAAAGGGCACATTTACATTCCACAGCACTATCTCCAAGCCTATAAAGGTCTGCAGCCCAAGTCAAGCATTAGCTTCTCTAATTTATTTCAGCACCAAAGCCTAACCTCCAACAAAATTACAACTGTAGCCGGAATCCAATTTTACAACTGCTGCATCCCTGCATCCTAACAGTTCCAGGCAGTGTTGCATTTCACTACGTACTCCACACTGCATTGCACTATCATCCTGTCATAGAATCACAGAATGGTCTGGGTTGGAAGGGACCTTAAAGATCATCTCGTTCCAACCCCCTGCCATGGGCAGGGACATGGGCTGCTCAAAGCCCCATCCACCCCGGCCTTGAACACTTCCAGGGATGTGGCATCCACAACTGCTCTGGGCAACCTGTTCCAGTGCCTCGCCACCCTCACAGTGAAGAATTTTTTCCTTATATCTAATCTAAATCAACCCTCTTTCAGTTTAAAGCCATTAGCCCTTGTCCTATCACTACATACCCTTGTAAAAAGTCCCTCACCAGCTTTCTTGTGGGCTCCCTCCAGGTACTGGAGGGCTGCTGTAAGCTCTCCCCACAGCCTTCTCTTCTCCAGGCTGAACAACCCCAACTCCCTCAGCCTGTCTTCTAGCAGAGGTCCTCCAGCCCTCGGATCATCTTCATGGCCTCCTCTGGACCCGCTCCAACAGGTCCACGTCCTTCTTATGTTGGGGGCTGCAGAGCTGAACTCCAGCAGTGCTCCAGCTGGGGTCTCACCAGAGCGGAGTAGAGGGGGAGAATCCCCTCCCTCGACCTGCTGGTCACGCTTCTTTTGATGCGGCCCAGGACATGGTTGGCTTTCTGGGCTGCAAGCACACATTGCTGGGTCATGTTGAGCTTCTCATCAACCAACACCCCCAGGTCCTTCTCCTCAGGGCTGCTCTCAATCCATTCTCCACCCAGCCTGTATTTGTGCTTGGGATTGCCCCGACCCATGTGCAGGACCTTGCACTTGGCCTTGTTGAACTTCATGAGGTTTGCATGGGCCCACCTCTCAAGCCTGTCCAGGTCCCTCTGGATGGCATCCCTTCCCTCCAGCGTGTCAACTGCACCACACAGCTTGGTGTTGTTGGCAAACTTGCTGAGGGTGCACTCGATCCCACTGTCCATGTCGCCAACAAAGATATTAAACAGCACCAGTCCCAACACCAACCCCTGAGGAACACCACTCGTCACTGGTCTCCACTTGGACGTCAAACCGTTGAGCGCAACTCTTTGAGTGCAACCATCCAGCCAATTCCTGATCCACTGAGTGGTCCATCCGTCAAAACCATGTCTCTCCAATTTAGAGACAAGGATGTCATGCGGGACAGTGTCAAATGCTTTGCACAAGTCCAGGTAGATGACATCAGTTGCTCTTCCCTTATCCACCAACACTGCAACCCCACTATAGAAGGCCACCAAAGTTGTCAGGCATAATTTGCCCTCAGTGAAGCCATGTTGGCTGTCACCAATCACCTCCTTGTTTTCCATGTGCCTCAGCATAGTTTCCAGGATGATCTGCTCCATGATCTTGCTGGACACAGAGGTGAGACTGACCAGCCTGTAGTTTCCCGGGTCTTCCTTTTTAAGAATGGCAGTTATGTTTCCCCTTTTCCAGTCAGTGGGAACTTCACCGGACTGCCACGACTTCTCAAATATGATGGACAGTGGCTTAGCAACTTCATCCACCAGTTCCCTCAGGACCCGCGGGTGCATCTCATCAGGTCTGATGGACTTGTGCACCTTCAGGTTCCTTAGATGGTCTTGAACCTGATCTTCTCCTACAGCGGGCAGTTCTTCATTCTCCCAGTCCCTGCCTTTTCCTTCTGTGACTTGGGTGGCATGGCTTGAGCACTTGGTGGTGAAGACTGAGGCAAAACAGTCATTGAGTACCTCAGCCTTCTCCATATCCCGGGTAACCAGATCCCAGTTTCCTTCCGGAGAGGACCCACATTTTCCCAAGTCTTCCTTTTATCACTGACCTACCTACAGAAGCTTTTCTTGTTGCCCTTGATGTCCCTGGCCAGATTTCATTCTATCAGGGCTTTCGCTTTCATAACCTGATCTCTGGCTACTCATCATGGTAAGCAAAACACACTAATTAACTAGGTTCCAGGACAGTGCTGACAAATTGACAGTGTTTTGTATCCCACTTCCATAACCACGGGAATGAGTTCTCCAAGCACATAGCATAAACGGTGCAAGAATCGGGTATAAACCGCAGCTTGTCCTATGTGAGGAACAAGCGACGTGGCTCACTGGGGCTGACTCAGGCCTGTATTTCAAAGGTGAGCAGGGCGTTCACATACCAGCCCGTCCTGGGCCCTGAGGGAAGCTCTGCGGGGCTGAGGAGACCCGAGGGAAGCTCGTTTCACTACCGGTGCCCCACCGGCACAACCTTCTCCTCAACTGCAACCGAGCGAGCTTGGAGGCAGCGGGCACCACTGGAAGAAACCCCGTGTCAGCACCAAACTCCTGATGTTTGAGCCCAAC